TGAGCATGAACTAGGTAGCTATCGTTCACCATAAATGATCCACAAAATGCAAGAATTTTAACTCCTCAAAAATACTGTGTATATAGTTTGACCCTACTTTTGCATAAAAATTTGATCATAAAATTGCAAACTATAAAAGACTCGAGTAAACTGGCAGCTGAATTTCTTATAGGGAAACTCATCCCCCACTATTCTCTGGTGTTCTGTGGTTAATGCCTTTATTACCATCTAGAGCCGGGTAAAGTTTCTTTGGGCATTTCATAATTTCCACCTTTAGGTTTATCCATTCATCTAAGAAGCTTTCCTTTCTATTTGTTTTTGTCAGCTTTACACACTGCTAACCTGGATCTCCTCTCTTATTTACCTACTGGCCACCCACTAGAGGTGGCCATGCCAAGGGAAGGAGGCCAGTGGTGTGTAGGATCCCTCCATCGTTCTTGATAATTTTGTCAAGGGCTATTTTGAAGCCCTGTACTGTACTTGATTCCACAGCATGGGCTGGTAGACTGTTCCATAGGTCTACCACCCTCTGTGTGAAAATGTATTTCCTTATATTCATTCTGCATGATCAACTTGGTGAGTTTTTAGGTATGTCCTGCTAAGTTGTTGGTCACGCAACAAAGAAAAGTCCCGGGTTCAGGGTTTCCAATCCTTCCAGGATTTTGAATGTTTCAATGAGATCTGCCCAATTGTGCCTTGTCTGAAGGGTTGTTAGTCCTAAGGTCCTCAGTCTACTTGGATATTTGAGATGACATAGTTCCTGAATCATCTTGGTCGCTCTGTGTTGCACGTTTTCTATGGATGTTAGCAGGGTTTCCATGCCTGTATACAATAATCCAGACTGGGATGTACTTGAGATTTTTACAGTTGAATGAACATTTTCCTATCTTTGTATTCACAGGTACACTTTATAATTACTGAATCTCGTTTTGCTTTCCTCACTGCTTGTTGCTACGCCTTCAGTGAATGATCTATCACAACGCCAAGATCTTTCTCCTTATCGACAGTATTCAGGAAAGTGTTATTCACAGAATAGTTGTGTTTAGGGTTGTATCCTATGTGTTGGGTCTTGTCTTTTGTAATGTTAAAGAGCATTTGCCAGGCTCAAGACCATTTGAATAGTTCATTCAGGTCTTTTTGCGACATTGCAACGTCATCTTGATTTGCTACCTTTCCAAATATCTTCTTGTCATCTGCAAACTTGACAATGTGGCTCGATATATTTTCATCTACTGTATGTCGTTCATATGTGGATCACAAACAGGGTGGATCCAAGGATAGAGCCTTGTGGTACACTTTATTGCCTGCCTTTGAGCCAGTTGTTAATTAACGTAAAAATCTTGCCTGTGATGCCATGTGCCTGGATCTTAGAGGCTAATCGTGCATGTACAACACATCCACTGGTGAGCCTTGGTCCATATTTTGTTATTATTTCAAGGAGCGTGATATAAGTTTGTCAGGCAAGATTTTCTTTCCGTGACACCGTGTTGTGATGCGTTGATAAGACTGTATTCAGTCAGGTGTTGGATGATGGCGTCCCTCAGAGTTTGCTTTCTGCTTCACGTTTCCTACCCTTCTTGTATACTGGGGTGACGGCTTATTTCCAATCCCTAGGTCCTTTACCTTGATACAAGGATTTCCTAAATAAAAGATCACAAAAAGTGACAGTTCGACTTCTATAATTCATATACCCTTAAGTTTAAAACTTCCTAAACCTGTAATTCTCCATCACTGTTCTCTGTTCAGGATCAATAACTTAAAAAAAAAAAAAAGGTCTTAAGTTATTTGTTAAAGGCCTCCACAGAAGTCAGCTGCTTCATGGATGCAGGCAACCAATTGTACAATCTGGGTGCTGTATAGGAAAAGGATTGGGTAGCAAAAGAACAGTCCCGTACTGCCCTGAGCTCCTCAAGACTTGAAGAATCATCACTACTACGCAAAGTCATTTCAGAATGTGTAGTCACTGGAATTAGTAGGTTGGCTAAATACTTAGGTTCACCAAACATTAGTGTCTTATAATTCATTAGACAGAATGGGGTAGTGGGAGCCTTTGGTGGGAGAGCAAAAATAAGCCTGGCAACCATGTTCAACACTGTTTGAACTTTCTTCAGTAAATAATTAAGTAGGCAGATCCATATAGAGTTACAAGTCAACCTGAGACAAGTGAATGTAATAGTGTCACAAGACATTGTTTATCTAAAAATTGTTTTAACAGCATATAGATTTTGAATATGTAAGTTACAACTCTCAACTACTGAATTTATATACTCTAATTCATATATGTATTCTATAAAATTCAGTTTTGAGTCAAAGTACTCTCCAAAATTAAGAACAGAATCGACAGGACTGAGTTGCACTTCCCTAAAGTTTAAAGAGCCAAGATCATCTGTGCCGTCTCCCCCCGCCTTTTCCTTGGATGACGATAATCTCTCTTTTGCCGTCATTCAGCTTAAGAGTTCTCCTAGACATCCAATTCTTAATATTAGATATCAAGGATTTCATAATCTCCTCAACATTTATTATTTGTTTTAATATGATCAATGTCTGTCAATTATACATATTATAAAACCTCAATTGAACCCAAAATGCAGTCAAAACTTGCCTGAGAATTCCCGTTCTTTCCATTTTCCTTGGATCTCGGTTTTCAGGCTGTTTTCTCCTGGGGAATGTGGAAATTTTGTCCAGTGTGATAGCCCTTTTACAGCACCTGGCCTTGGGGGGTGTTCAGTGCATCTACTGTCTCGTGTTGGTGAATATTCATAATAATGTCTTATTTTGTGCATGTTCTTTGGGCAATTTACCTGTTTACATTAATTTATTAAATTTTATTTGTTAACATTGTTTTTTGGTGCTCTTATGATGTAACCCTAATTTTTACCTAAACACTTTGTGCTGATACCTTTTGCAGTTTATGCCTTTTTCATATTGTATTTTTATAAAAGGTTTGAGAATTACGATAATATTTTGTTTAGTTAGTAAGTTGAAATCAATTTAAGTGAATTTAATCTTCATTAGTATTTTAAATACCTGTACACACTGTATTAACAATATAAAAAATTCCCTTGTATTTGTAAGATCTTTTCATTTGTTCTTTCTTTATAGATATTTCAGAATGATTTGTTGTAAAAATCTTAAAATGATATTGTTTATAAGAGATGTTGGAAGGAAAACTTTCATATGACACTTTTATAATAACCTCTAGAGGAAGTCACATTTATACTTACCTGTAACACTTCAATAAAGTTTTTCTTAGAATGCAGTGTGATGAAAGTTTTGTTTTACTACTGGTACCTACCTGTAATATCAATGTGTCCTTTCAGTAATATGTTTGACATGTATGGAATGCTCAACTATAACAGTGTTAGAGCTCCTGAATGGTTGCCGAGACATTTTGTGATACTAAAGTACCCTGTACAGTACTATAGTATTAAGGTTCAACTCTCCTCCCAGCCTTAAAGACATCTTATCACATACAGGTATCCACCTCTTTACGATGGGGTTACATTCCTGAAACGCCCATCACAGGTTGAAATATTGTAAATCGGGATCAATATAACATGGGGTTCAATGGGATACATTCCCAGCTGACACCCACATGTACAGTATCACCAAAAATAAAATTCCTACCCTTATACTGTACCTACAACACAATTAAACAACACTCACCACATCATTAAGAACAAGCCTGGTTGTCATCACATGTCCCCTTTGAGGATAGATAAGGGGACTCTTGAAAGTGGAGTGGAGATGTCACTCTGACTCCCACACAGCTTCACAATGTTAAGCTTCACCTCCAGAGAGACAGTTTTCCTGGGTGCTTTGGCCTTCCCAGACATTTTCAAAGTTACACTGCTCACTTCACGGTCACAAAAACAGAGTACAGTGTGAATGTTAGTGATGTCCTCTCACTGTAAGGTAAAAAAAAAGTAACACCGATACTGACTGATAATCGTTGAGCTACACAATAACAAGGATGTGTGATCACCATGGAACAAAGCTTGGACCCAAACAATGCAAGATATGCCACTAGATCCAGAAAATTACAAAGTTTCCAATGGTGAAGTTAGGTTTTTGGAAATGACCGATAGTTTTGCCGTAATTTGCAAAAAAAAAATGCAAAACTGAGCAAAAAGCATATTTTGTTTTCAATACAGCATTTTCATAGATATGCTATGACTATTACCAAATTGTATTATAATGCGTAGTAAAAATTTTGGGGGGAAGAGACTGCTTTTTGGGGTAGCCTCCCCCACTGCATATGAAATCATAAAACCTATGATTATTATATAAACCACAATGACATTAACCCTTTATAAAATCATGTGAAACCAAAATACAGTATACACCCCAAATAAACCACAACAAACTCACACAAATGTATATACAGTAAATCAATGAATTGAAAAAATAACACTTACGTCTTCTTGTGAGGCTGCAAGCATTAGGAACTGGAGAGGGTGAGGTGGGGTAGGAGGAGGATTATACCTGAAGGTGCTGTGTGGTACAGATCGTAACAATTCTTCAGGCACAATGGAACATCACACACTCATAGCATGTGTCCCGCCACATACTATGCATTTTTCAGCACAGACAACAATGGTACGTCAAATAACAAAAATAACAACAAATATCATTTCATGCATACTGTAGTTTAGACAAAAAGTAAAAATAAATAAATACAGTCTATTTAAAAGTTGAGAGTTCTCTAAAAGTGAGTGAAATGGATTTGTTGATGTTCTAGACTCAGACTTAAAGTCTGTTGTGACATTTGCCAGAAGTTCATAAATAATTATTGCCTGATTGAATAAATATCCCAATACTGTACTTTGATTATCTCTATCAATAAAATATTACTAATGCTTTAAAATACAGTAGCTTTTGAAATTAATATTGGTCAAATTAAAATAAAGATTTGAGGTAATGAATAGCATCTGGCATAAGTGTGTAATGTCTAGTAAGTACCGGAAGCTTAAACTCACTTTTGGAAAAATAAAAAGGAGTAAAATAGATAGTCATTATATTTTTTTATCATGTGTAAAATTTGTATACAAAAATTAGAATAAAATTAAAAAAAATTTGCATTTGTAATTTATCTATTTTATGTTTGTATTTTCCAACTGAAGTGCTCTGAAAAATTTGCTTTAAACTATGTAGATATCCAAGTATTGTTTGAGATCATCCATTCTATGGTCTCCTTTAGATATGGCATGTTGTAAATGCTGGCAATTTTACTGAAGACTCTGAGCTTGTGGCTAAAATCAGCTTGGTTTAGGAGAGTCTTGTAGCGTCCTCCACAAGTACAGTACAAGGTCATGTTGGGCTGCTTCACCTAATTTAATAAAATGATAAATCAAATGTGTTTAGTTAAAATGGAATTGATGCAGAAAAAGGTGTCATGCTTTGTAACAATTAACACTATTTACTATATAAGGCTTATCTTTCACAAACTTTACCAACCATAAACTGACCTGTGAGCAGCGATCACACTGAAGATCCTGAAGAACTTGTGCCATGGAGTTGGTGTGAATAAGGGCTATCAGCTGATGCTGTATTTCATCAGATGCATAACTTGTCTTGCATATTGGACACAGCCACACACGTCTATAAATATCTAGTTATGTAAATTTCCATGATAAAATTATAACAAACTTGACTAAGCCATAACTATAACTTTTTTTTTACGGGGATTAGCCCACTTAGGCACAGGTCACCCTTTGGCTGCATAATTAGAAAAAATGCAAAAACAAGTGATACTGTATTCCTTAATGCACATATTTTAAATTTTTTTTCATAAAAAAAAAAAATCCCCAGGTATTCCTTGCTTCACATTGATGAATTAGTGGGAGGGGGATAGTGACAGCAGTAAAAGACAGTATTTCGGGTAACCTTAGAACACCGAACTACTTCAGCACTGAATTCCTCTGCCATGTCCCCTACTCAACTTAAAGTTTACATATTGCTACCACATTGGTTTAATCATGTTTGTTTACAGCAAGAAAACTTACCAAAACCCTGTGAGTGGAAAATGCCCAGCAAGTGATAATAGTGCCTCTGGTACAATATTAATCTAATGGATAAATCTTATGTTTTCAGGCATTTTGAAGCTGGTGAACAATCTGTTGACATCATCTGAGTGCTTGGACTACCTGCCATCTTCAGTGAGTGTGATCCAAACAGATAACACAGTTCTACAGTTAACCAGTTAATATCCAAAGACATTAACTGCTACAATGAGGAAGGCAACTCTGCAGCTTCATCTCCACCACTCCTACCCCAACCAACCTCTACACTTTAGTTTTCTTAACCAACTTGGGTAAATGTAATCTTTTTGAATTTTTTTTTTATATAAACTGGTATATATTTATTTTAACTTATACAGTGGCCTCGTAAGTTCACGTAGCTCAAATTCCACAATTCACGAGTTTCAAGCAGACCCCAAACTTCCCCACCTCGCGTCATCCATGCACCTTCCTCCTGAGTTTTACACTCCCCGTACCAAAAAATACAGTAATACTGTACATAGATATTGTACAAAAAAAAAAAATCCTATATTACATAAGCAGCTTCTTTCCAGGCTGGCTGACCTAGCTCTAAGGTTTATCTTTCATACTCACACTCCATTCTCCACAGCCTGATAAGTGTCCTTGCACAGGTCAATGTTGCGGCAGTGGTTACAAGCACGACAGATAACCTCAGGCAGGACATAGGAGACACAGGGATCTTTCCACTGAGCCTCTGGGGAAAATTCTCCAATGTTCAGCAGCTTGAGAAGGTCTCGGCGTAACTTATAAACCTGACAAAATTATGCCATAGTTATAAGAAAAAACACAGTAAAAATAAGGTTTTAACCTGCATGAAAATTAAATATTTATCCTGAAAAACCATTTTATGGTTGAACCTGGAACTAGACTGGTCAAGTATAATTTGCACACTATGCCATTGGTGTAGACCCAAAATACTAGACAAAAATATTTTTAAAGTGCTTATGAATGTAGTGTTGTAACTCTAACACATGGGAGGGAAAAATATATATTTCAACATACCTGTTCTGTAACTGTTGAGTCCAATGACAAGACTTTGGTGACATTCTTCACAAACTCTAGTGCTGGAATATTGTGAGAGTCATCAGAGACTATTAGACTGGTTGACTCATCCTCTTCTTCTCTTCCACTTGTTCCTTTTTTATGAATCTTCTGAGTTATGAAGTAAAGTTTTTGGGCTAACTCTCCTGATACAAGATCTTGGGCAAACTCTACATACCCCTGAAGGGAATCATCTGGTTTCCGACTGGCCTGGCTGGAAACTTTACGCTTCATGGGTGTATTACCGGGAGTAAATCGCCCACTCTCCTCCTGCAATTTCTCATACACTGCATTCATGTATGAGGCTATTACATTGTTGAAGCTGCTCTGACAGCCACACCACTCAGGAAGATACTCTGCCATATTCCAATTCATCTCAATAACTGAACCATCCTCCTCTCCTTCTCCTTCATTATTGGTATCTGTGTTCTTTTGCCCTTCTGATTCCTCCTCTTCATCATCAGAGTCTTTATTTTCATTTTGGGTATCATCTTGTGTCTGTGAAAGATCCTTGGGTAGTTTTCCCTTTATGCCGCCATGGTTTGCAGGGTCCAACCATAAGAGGTATTCCCAACACTGGTTAAAGGATATGTCAATAGAATGAAATAGTTCTTTGCCACGAATGCTGTTTACCACATACTGTACATAAGCAATGGCATCATCAACTCTTTTCTTTTTGGTGCACAAAACTATTTTATTAAAACTGGCAAAAACGATGACAGAACCCAAACGTTTAAATTCAGCAACAAGATGAAGGAACAATTTGTGCATGAGTGTGTGAAGAATGCGATGAAGTGCGGGATCATACAAAAGTGAGTTCGAATCACGTAGCCATCGGTAGAAGTGTATTATCTGAAAGTCTGCAAATACATTTTGGTAGATGGAAACATCACGAAGCCAAGCAGCGACCATCTGCCGGAGAATCCTAAATGCTGGAGCACAGCGGGCAGTTTCATCATATGCTGTGAGAGCTGACTCGGCCCCACCCATCATGTCTTGTAAAGTGGCATGAGGCGCATCAAATGCCACACTGCTACTTGTTCCCTCCATTTCATTAATGTGGTGTGCCTGTAGGTACAACAAATATTATACAATAAGTGATACTGTACTGTCAATTATTCAGGAATAAGAAAATTTGCATACTGAATGACATGTCTTATACAAATTATGTTGTTTATTTCATAAGACTCCCACTGTGTGCACCAGTGAGGTAATTTAACTGTAATAGTTAATTGAAGAAGTTAAGTCAGTGGCAGATCCAGGGGGGTTCAGGGAATTCAGTCAAATCCCCCTTTCACATAAGACTCACGTCAGGTCAAATGTTAACTCATATCAAGACCCAAGCAGCTAACGAGCTGATCAGTGACGAAGAGGAAAGAGATCAGCTTGAAACGCATTCCTGGCTAGTGGTATAATACTTAAATGGGATTTGTGACCCATGCCAGGTGCAGGTAATTTATCTCTACATTAGTATCCGCCTTTGATCAGTTGGTGTCAAGTCAACATTTTAAAGGAATCGCTAAGTGAGAGGCAGTAGATGTAAGGTGACAGGAATTATAACCTCAAATGACAAGGGTTACCACCACTGACACCAGATTAAGAGGAGGGGATGGAAATTGAGGTAAGTGATAACAGGTGCTGGCTCTGATGCAGGTTTATCACACAAAGGAATTAGACATCAACAAAATTGGGGACAAGTTTGCCATCGAGCAACCAAGATGGATGCTGAGGTATATAAGTATTCATTAATTTGAGTGTTATTGTGCAAGATTTTTATTTTGCCTATTTATCTGGCCCATCCATATATTTCTTAGATTCACATTCGAAGCCGAGATAGTCCTTCTGTATCCTCTTGTGTACAAGGCCCCTTCTGAGCTGAGTAAAATCGTCTGGTGTTATCTAAACAAAATATTAAAAAGTGGCATCCCCATAGTAAAAGGGTTAGTGGATATAGTCAACTAACTGGAACATAAATTGTCAAATCATTTCTTTTAATATTTCAATCAATCTCAATGAAGAATATCCAGAATTGATTTACTAATGATTAAAAAATAAATAAAAAATCATTGTACAAATGGGCAACATCAAGCTAAAGTGCACTGGGGTGAGGTCATTGGGAAGACAGGTTCTCTAATCAGGTAAAAATTCTTGACCAGGAGTCAGGTGTGAGGTTACATTGTTTCTTTACCCCTTGAGGTCAACTGTATAAACTTGTTCTTGTCACTTGCCAGTACCCTAACTACAGAATGACCCAACACCCTTAGAAAAGACAAACCACATCTGCCCATGTGCAGCAACTCACACAATAGGAAACTGACACCATTATATTTGATAATGCAGAAAATGATTATCCTCCCATGCAGTGACAGTGATATAAGTGAAGATGGTGACTTTCTTCAAAGATTGACTAATGAATCTTAAGGGGAATTTAAGTGGCAAAAATGTAGAATATGCTGGTAGTGGTGAGGTAGCTTCCTCAAACCACATGCCCATCCAGAAGGCCCCTACACAGGATTGGAATAATTCTTTGTTTATTCCCACCTAACCCCTGAACTTTGTTGGTGTAAATCAGGAGTAATGGTAGGACTCAAATGTTTTATGATTTTTTTTTTTTAATATTCTCCCATTCAGTGGGTAATGACGGCAAGCTGCCATCACTGTCCTCAAAGGGTTAAAGTGTCCTTTTATTTACTTAAGGTTTTACTGGAGATGTGGAGTATGGTAATGCCCAGCCACAAATGTGAGGGGTCTTGGGAATTCTTGGATCAAGCCACCAGTATATGAATCACTTGATTCACTGAATCAGTTTTAGAAATTATATGTGAAGGATTAATAATAATGGGGATGGTTTGTCCTTGCCCCAAACCTAACACAAACACTGTCAGTGCAGTCAATGAGACAAACACAAAACAATGTCATTACATGCAGTGGCTTTATTATCATGCATAACATCTGACCATGAAATTATTCCTACCTGTAAGAGTGTAGTTACTGCTAATGCATCCAGATCTAGTTCAACACAAACATTTGAGTAGCAACCAGAGTTGTTAACTTGGGCAGCAGATGCAGCATCTTCCAAATCAGCAACCAGTCGATTGTCATCATGCTCATGACCACCTAAGTCAGGTCTGGGTCCTGGGGAACACCATATAACTGCATTATGCTTTTGTAGGTGCCTTACATAGAACAGGTCGGCACCAAATGCAGTAGTGTCACGTGGCAAGTTACCAACGGGCAAGTGAAAATAGCGACTCTGTTCCATTGAGGTCTGTAACAACTGGTTTAGTCCAAGAAAGTGCCGTACCATTGCTCTAGCTCCCACTCGTTGCCAGTCAAGAACATTATACAATGTGTCAACATCAGTTACATGGACAGGAACTTGAGGAAATTCTCCTAAACCAGGCATAAGAGCTGTCAAGGTAGGCAGGTCATGTGGGGACTGAATAGCCAGAAAAGTTGGCCCTCTTTTTTCATCTCTATACCCTTGTAAAAGTCGCTGTATTTGTCGGAAAATTTGTCTCACTTCAGTTTCAAATTTGATCTCAAACGTATAGTTGGATTCTGGAAGCAGTGATTCGTCATGTCCTTTCGTAATTTTGGCATTTCTTTCAGAATTATAAAGGTTATTAACATTAGGCATCTGGTTACTGCGCACTGTATCCAGAACAAAGATGTGTGCCTTTTTACTCTGGTTGAAAATGATACTAAACATAGCTTTGTTACCACTACGGTGATGATAAAGATAGACATGGGACAAGCTGCCCTCTTCTAAGTACTGGAACTGAGCCACAGTCTTAAACTTGAGCTGGCCTAATTCAAATGTGTCAGTGTCAGATCGAGCGATTGTTTTGTCCACCATACACACACAGCCCAGCTGAGCTATGGCTCTAAATTCAAGTGGAACCTGTAAGAAAAGAACAATAAATCAAATTCAGCATAATTTTTGGTAAGTAAGCAACCAATATCATGTATTAAATAAATAGATCATGTAACTTTTTAATTCATTTAAAGTACAGAACAGTTACAAGATGACAAATCTGATTCATTTCTAATACAGGTTGACAACCCTTTATCCGAAATTCCGAAAACCAAAAAGCTCTGAAAACCGAAAGATTTTTGTGGAGCGTTTTTTTTTTAACAAGGATTAGCCCACTCAGGCATAGATCACTGACCCACATCGGGGCCTGGGGGGGGGCGAAAATGTAATAGTAATACTAATTATAATAATTATAATAATACTTATTATTCATAGTAAATAAATTTTTTAATTAAAAAATACACCAAAATAAAATAATAATGATAAAAATAATAATAATAATAAAATTTATAATAATAATAATAATAACAATAATAATAATGAAATATACAAGAATGAAAAAAAGATAAAAAGTGAGAAACACAACCTAAACCTATGAATTATTATTATTATTATTATTATTATTATTATTATTATAATTTGTATTATGTTTTCACCCCCCAGGCCCCAATGTGGTCAGTGACTTGTGCCCGGGTAGGCTATAAAAAAAAAAAAAAAAGTTATGAAAATCGAAAAATTCCGAAATCCGAAATGCCTCTGGCCCCAAGGATTTTGGATAAGGGATTGTCAACCTGTAATCAAAATACTGTACTGTATTCACTGACAATCTAAAGTCATTATTCAGATGGAAAGAACTGGTCACTAGCATCAAATGAGTGTTCTCTTTAAAAAAATAAATACTAATTAAAAATAAAAATGCACACATTACTTAAGTTAGTAGTGTTCCCAACATAAACATCCACATCACACACCTGTGTTTCATAAATCCCTTCAATATCAGGAGTGGAGAGATCTGCCATGAGCTCATTACTATGTTCACAAAACACTTCTTCTGGAACTGTGTATTCATAGAGGTTGTAGACAGGGTGAGAACGAGGGAGGGTTTTGTTCACCTTACGCCACACTCCACCTGTTTCAATCTCTGGTTTAGGCACTCGTTGGTTAACATAAAATATTCGTTGGATAATTAATTTGATGAGATGAAGATCATGACCAACTAAAGCCCACAATTTGTACTGTCCCGGGGTGTTTGTTTCTGCAAGCTGTACAGAAAAAGAAGAAAAAAGGATTAGATCATGTACCATATTTTACAAAATAAACACAACACTAAATCTACTTGTATTTCCCAGTTATGTATTCTAAATGTTACTATGGTATCATATTAATAAAGCTAATAACTACAGTATGTTACCTGAATAATCTGCCAGGGAACATCCATGAGAGTACGCTGAGTCTTGCGGAGAAATCCACCCAGAGTAGTGGTGGGTCCTGATCTGACTACTCTGCCAGACTCAGCCCGACCACCACCTCTGTCAATGGTTGGACAATTCCCAGTCCGTACTCTCTTTGATCGATTTTCCCGCTGTAAGCGCTGGAACTCCCATTTCTTTTTTTGAAATTTAATCCAGACTGCTATTTCTTCCTGAAATTTATGAGGTATAGTTATAACTGCATAATGAGCAGGACAATGGATCAGGGAATGAATTTTGAAGTGTCTTAATCATCATGCAACTATTCAACTTTTCTTAACTTTGTAAAGCATCACTGTCGCCTTGTAAGCACTATCACCTACAGACTAGTAAGAGACCTGTCACATGTAAGTCTATGCTCACAGAGGCTTTATTGTTCTAAAATGTTATGTATTGTGTGATACTATGTATATGTCTTATTAATATTCAAATAAGTGTGTAGTAAATGCTGGTGCCATTGTATACAACACAAAGCTGTATTTGTCACCTAACTTGTAATACATGTCATGAGTAATGTGTTACCATTAACATTGTATTGACAGGTTTTGATAAGTAAACACCACTGAGTCCACGAGCATGGGTCTTCTCATCCAGATGTCACATACTTACCGCTTCAATGGTGGTAACAGCCATTTTTAAAGACTTACCTTAGAGTTTCCCATTCTTGGTGAATTGCCCAGAACATCTCTCCAACTTCTGGTCAGGTCATTACTTGCTTCCTCTAAGTCTGATACTCTCTTGCGCTTGGTACTTGTCACTGTAGGCCCTGAACTTTTTGTGTTGCGTGAGTGTGATGCTACAACATCCTCAATATCTGGGGTATCTTGCGATGCAAATAGATCTTGCTCTGACTGATAAAATAAAACAATATATAAATGAATAGGTGAAGAGATATAAAGAGACTCTCTCTCTCTCTCCTCTCTCTCTCTCTCTCTCTCTCTCTCTCTCTCTCTCTCTCTCTCTCTCTCTCTCTCTCTCTCTCTCTCTCTCTCTCTCTCTCTCTCTCTCTCTCTCTCTCTCTCTCTCTCTCTCTCTCTCTCTCTCTCTCTCTCTCTCTCTCTCTCTCTCTCTCTCTCTCTCTCTCTCTCTCTCTCTCTCTCTCTCTCTCTCTCTCTCTCTCTCTCTCTCTCTCTCTCTCTCTCTCTCTCTCTCTCTCTCTCTCTCTCTCTCTCTCTCTCTCTCTCTCTCTCTCTCTCTCTCTCTCTCTCTCTCTCTCTCTCTCTCTCTCTCTCTCTCTCTCTCTCTCTCTCTCTCTCCTCCTCTCTCTCTCTCTCTCTCTCTCTCTCTCTCTCTCTCTCTCTCTCCTCTCTCTCTCTCTCTCTCTCTCTCTCTCTCTCTCCTCTCTCTCTCTCTCTCTCTCTCTCTCTCTCTCTCTCTCTCTCTCTCTCTCTCTCTCTCTCTCTCTCTCTCTCTCTCTCTCTCTCTCTCTCTCTCTCTCTCTCTCTCTCTCTCTCTCTCTCTCTCTCTCTCTCTCTCTCTCTCTCTCTCTCTCTCTCTCTCTCTCTCTCTCTCTCTCTCTCTCTCTCTCTCTCTCCTCTCTCTCTCTCTCTCTCTCTCTCTCCCTCTCTCTCTCTCTCTCTCTCTCTCTCTCTCTCTCTCTCTCTCTCTCTCTCTCTCTCTCTCTCTCTCTCTCTCTCTCTCTCTCTCTCTCTCTCTCTCTCTCTCTCTCTCTCTCTCTCTCTCTCTCTCTCTCTCTCTCTCTCTCTCTATATATATATATATATGCATGCAATAATGTATTTACCCGGTATATAAAATGTGTGAAATAAATAAATAATAAACGGTTTATTAATAGAGTTGCAGCCGGTGGCTGAAAATATACAGACTTACATTTAATTTAGACTTAATGTGTGTGTGTGTGTAAATACATGTATGGTATCCACCGAGTTCTAACCGGCCACATCAACCTTTTGGCTGCGGGAGGTTACCGTAAGCTGAATAAAATCGTCTGGCGGTTGCCAGAATAAAATGGCAAGTGCGGGAACTGCAGCGAAAAGGTTAATCCCCTGGAGTAAGCTGACTCTTCTTGTGTGGGAGTCTTCACCTCAATCAGTGTGTACGTACATGCAAGTGTGTGTGTTTTTTTTAGTAGGTTCTTTGAATACTATGTTGTCATCTCTATGACAAGGAAATCTGTCAGTAACAGATAAAAGCTTTACATAAATATATGCAACATGAGCACTTAAATAGGAATAATTAAATAAAATATATCTTACATCCTCCTCTACAGTCTGTACTCTTCGCTGAGGCTTGGGTTTTGGGGCAGCAGAGAACATGTCTGTGATGCGCCGCTGCTTGAAGGTATCATTTCTCTCAAGTACTCTCTTGTGGAGCCAGTCAGGATGTGCAACTCTGGGGACTGGGTTGGCAACACCCTGATTATAATAAAAATATGTATACAGTATATTAAAATCATAAACTGTAAATATGGTATATTAAAATCAACACATTTTGTTTTTCAATGCATTCAAGCTTTTTACCATTAGACTAAGCAGGCTAGAAACAAGACCAAATACACACAAACTTGGTCCCTTCATTTATCATAATTATTTTTCCACAAAGTGGTCTGAATCCCTATACTCTCTGTACTGTACTTGGCAGACTTACGGCTTCTCTTTCAGTCATACCACCTTGGTGTGCTACAGTAAGGGAATGTGAAGGTGGGTGTCAGCCAAGCAGGACCACACATGTAGACCAGAACACGTTATAGGCCATTTTTTTAGGTATAAGAAGTTACTCAATTCAGATGTTTTCAGTTGTTGGGCTTGTAAGGATAAGGCTTTCTGGTGGACACTGACCTGGGGTGAGACTCCATCATATTTTCTTTGTATGGGAGGTTTAGTTAAAATATAGTGAAATTTGGGAGAATTTTAAGATATTACAGCATGCCCTGACAACTCACAGATTTTTAATTCGCGGACCTTGATTATTCCTGGATGACACCCTAGATGTACCCAAGAATGTCTAAGGGTAATTTTAAAGTTGCTGGCATTTTCGTGGCTGGGACAAGGAGCCATTCGTTCTAGAGACAGTAATTTCTTTTACCTGTAATGTATGTGAGCGTGTGTGTCTACACACACATACAGTATACAGTAAACAATACTGTACAGGTAAAAGAAATAATTGTCCTAAGGGCAAACACATAAAGGGAATAGGTATACATTTCTTTGCACAAGAGTAAAAGTGTACCCCCAGTCAGCAAATGTTACTCACGGATTTGGCTATTTGCGGCCATTTTGATAATGTAACCCCCGTGAATTTTAAGGGCATGCTGTATTTTGAAACAGATCAAAAGTATTTCATCTTAAGTGTAACTTATTTACAATCCATCAATACAATGTGTAAGAAGGTAACCCGAGGACTGGGTGGGATCTATTGTAAAGTACAGTACGTAATGCCTTTTTATTGTTAAATTATAAAAAAATTATCAGTACTTTCTTGAAATTTATTGAAGGAAACCTAACCTAATCATAACCTCCTCCTAGCCAAAACTTCAGACTAAAAGATTGTTTTAGGTCCCATGAATATGGATAAAAGAAATCATACTAACGGTCACTAATTCACACACAGGGTAATGAATAATACAGTACAATACTTTTGATGTGGCTACCCAAACGTTACTTTCTGTAGTTGATATAATAATTTTTAGTCAAGTTTGTAGCAATTTAGGAAACTGCAAGATCATATAAATAATTATAAATTAATGTGTAGTCTAGGGAATTTCTGCTTACTTCCTTTTTATATAATGGACAAAATCCTATACAGTGCTGAAGTTACCTGAAGAGCTGCAGGGATGGTTATAATCTTCATCACAGTTCCTGACAATCTCTCTATGTAATATTGCCAGTCTAGCACATTCTTGATGTCAAAGTTAGTAAGTGATGGATCCTTGAGCCAACGACGCAAGTAATGATGCTTCACTGAAGACTCTGCCTGGAAGATGGCTAGTGGTATGGCTCTGCCAGAAGAAACAGCAAAATATTTTATTCATGTCTAATTCTTCATTCATCAATTTATTAAACTTACTGGTACTTTTTTATCACTAAACAGAGTGAAACTGGCACACCAAGTCTTACAACAAGTTAAAAGAATTTTATGAAAATTAATTAAGTTTTTGAACAAATTGAAAAGTCAAATGAAGATTGAATGAAGTATGGGCTAAGCCCTTTACATCATTCCAAAGGTTCATAATATTGTGCTGTAGTTTGCTCATCATACAACTTAAAGGACATTCAACAGAGATACAGACTTAAATTGACGTGACTTTAATTGTGACCTTTTGTTATCAAAGTAATAAACCTGTGGAGCTCATCAGAGAAATATCCAGTGTGAACCTTGGTAGTTCTCTAGTGGCCTCAAATTTTTGAATACATCACATGAACTATACTGTATTTGGAAATGTAGACATTGTACCCAGTTGCAGAGGTAAAAACCTTTCAGAGAAGTTCATTCTTTGAGACAATTTAAAATTTTCAGACAGCTCACCTTTCAGTAATTGGTGCACCTTCTGGCTTTTTAGAGATAATAAACCTGCAACTCAGACCAGCATCTTTTACCATCTGGTCTCCCAAGAATTCTGCAAGTCGTTTAGCAGTAGAGATGGAGGTAGACTTTTGAGCTCCATATTCTTCAAGTTTTTTGCTCATTGATCGATTCTCTGAGATCAATTCAAACAATTCTGACTCAGGCATATTGGCAGCTTTACTGTACAAGACATCTAACCAATAATCTGCCACCTGGGTTGGAAAAAATTAGAGTAATACAGTACAGTACAATGATAAAATTAAGTTAATATAATTCACTCAAGTATCTTGAAGTTTCAAAATTTTCAAGCATTAAATTAATTTTTGAGATAATACTTTTTTTTTTAAGTAAACATTGAGTAAAGCTTGAAAGTTCAACTGTGACAGATAAACACAAAATAGAAGGGATGATAGCCATATAGAAAAGTTCTGTACTGTAAGTGGAAAATTTGCCTCAATACACACCTGAATCTAATCATGACCTGATAACATAATTTTTGGCTGTACAGGTAGTTCTGCTATAACGCGATAATTGTGTTCTTGTAAAATATCGTGTTATAGAAAATCGCGTAATAGAAATAACAGGGCTTATGGAGAAAATAGGGTTAGGTGCAGATTACTCGAAATCGAAAAAATTTAGTAGTTAGCCTAACACAAAGGATAGCACAGTCTAAATAAATGTTACATTCATATCTAATAATGAAATCATACAGTAAATGTAACACTTTACTTGATGGGGGAGAAGGGTGATTTTGAGGTTGATAAAATCGAGCTTCTCTTCAAGTGTTATATCCTTTCTTTTACGATCATCACCGGGAATTCTATCACCAGAACGCTTCTTGTTGATATTCTTCTTTACTATATTCACAGTTAATACAGTGGGGTATGCTATAACGAACGGATCCTACTACGAATATTCCTATAACGAACGGTTTTACCTATAAAATTGAGAATGCTATAACGAACGAAACTCCTACAACGAACATAATTAAATTTTTTTTTCTCTAATTTATTGTTTTATTATTACAAATATTAATGATATTCTTTATTTCAGGGGTTTAGATGCATATTTATGCACTTTTTTACAATTTTTACAATTTTATATTATATTTTTCAGTGTTAAGTGGTTGTATTTGGGGGCCTGGAACAGATTAATCATATAACAAACGAATGCTATAACGAACAAGGTTCTAGAACCAATTAGATTCGTTATAGCATACCCCACTGTACCACAAAATTGGAGAAATAGTAAGCAAAAATCGCGTTATAGCAAACAAGCGTTCGCGTTATACAAATATCGTTCGTAATTCATAAATCGCGTTAGAGCAAATTCGCATTGTCAAAACACGCGTTATAGCAGAACTCACTGTACTTACAGTTGAATGAGCAACAAATACAGTACTTTACAAATATGAATTATGCACTCCACCACACACATAATATTAAAGCATTACTAAGATTTAAACCATACAATTCTTTCCTCACAAAGATACTGTACATAAATATACAATACACAATAAATTGGATCTCACGAAGCTTAAATCTCCGAAGAATATTGTGTTGTGACTTAAAAAACTTACTGTATAATCACTTTTGTCTTCATATAAGTAAATTTATTAAGATTAGTTTGGAATCCTGACTCTTACCTTAGCAACACTGGCATAACAGGTTTCCAGAGTGTCTCCCTTCAGGAAAGCTTCAAATACAGATGACTGGAAGATCTTGATCAGCTGTAGTTCTCCACGGCGCTTCACCTCAAACCCTTTAAGTTCAGCTAACGAGCCATCAAAGTTGAATACTGCATAGCGCTTCTTCAGTTTTTTACCTTCTTCCTTAGATGCTGGGAGTATCATAGCCTGATATGGGCCATCCACCTGTCAAAAAGCCATAGTTTTATTGGTAATTTGGTTATAAAGGCTTATATATTTACATACGGTTGGCATAATGACAGCATAGAGTAAATAAAGAAGAACATATTTCAATTACCAGTTTATAGCAATAAAGTACAGTACAGTAAATTAAACAAGCAATAGAACAATTCACTCAGGATCAAGGAAATGGTTGCTACCTAATTTCCAAATATATTTTGGTGGAATTTATAGAATGTAATTGAGTAAGGAAGATTAATTTTCAGGTTGGCTCATGTTGCCTGCTATCATCAATGGCCTAGGCACACAATGTTCCTCAGGCACAGCATGTTTACATGATGGTAACTATTTGTGAGGATATTTACTTCATTATTTTTCAGGAATCAATGCAATTTTTCCTCTCTCCAAAATCAAATTTTAATTTTAAAAAGTAAATTAAAGAAATGTGTAAAAATCATTTAAAACATAAAAAAGAAATAAGATAGCATTTATCTCCTTAATCTCTACAAAAAACTTATTATATTTACTAATAGTTGTGTGAAATCAGAGGTGGTTGTAAAACTGGTGTTGGGTTAAGTTATTCTTACATATCAACTTGTTGTACAACCTCAACCTAAGTCATTAAGTAAGAGAAATGGTTTTTGCAACATGACAACAACCAAGGCAACATCATTCGCTGATACTGGCTCTGAGGAGTGAGTGATTACAGTGAAAAACTAATTGAAATGGTGTGAAGGGAAGGGGTGTACTTAGCTCCTGATGGGAAATGGAGATAAGTAGGGTGTTGTGCACAAATAGGAATGTAATTGGGTCTGAGGTTTGATCTAGAAATGAGAGATCATGGCCAAACCAAACGAGGGTTGCTGTACAAAATAGCTAGTCCGACGTTAAGACTCGCTGCTTTTATCCTGAACTGGTGACTACTACATTTAAAGGTCTATTTTTAGAGACTTGGTTATGACAGTAGAGTGTGATTAATCAGTCAATTAGTTTCAACCAATAATGTTGAAGGTTAGACTTGAGATCTCAATCCAGGGTATGCACAAGGTCATGAATGATGGCAAATACACTACAATACAAACCAACTACAGCATCAGTTCTGAATGATCGATGAAGAGATTCACTAACCTCAAAGAAAATGGAGTTCTCAGACCGCACAGAGTACTCCAAGTTGTCTGGGTCCACAAGGTCATGGTACTGATGGTTTGTATAATGGTCCTTCACCATGACATTAAGTATTGCTCCAGGATAGGATATTGTCACTTTAGCTTTCTTGGGATTATTTGTTTTTATCACATAATTCTCTGGGAATGAAGATGGAAGGATGCACCAAATACCATCAGTGTCCAGCTCTAAAGGACGTCCAATCTGGAAAAGTGTGATATAATACTGTACACTCAACTCACCTCAGCCTGAAATCTTCCATATACAGTATTCCAAATTATTTATACCCTGCAAATCAAAATGGTACACAGCATTTTTTTATGGATTTATTTTGTTATTTAAAATGTTTCATATTATACTTTTCACTAGATAAAAAAAAAATCTTTACTTTGTTACACTATATTTGAGCTGTGGAATAATGGGCCAATAAAATTGTTAGATTCCATCTGTAAGGCCCGCTCACACCTCGTGATGTGCCACTGTCCTTAGAAGGAAGGTGAGGGTGCACCACTAGGTCAAGAGCAGCTTTGAGTTGTGCTCACAAGGGTGTTGGCAGCTAACATGTGCTATGTGTTAACTAGGCATGGGATTGGATGCAAGGATTGGGGTGCAACGTCTGGCAACGTTACCTCAGCCGACTCCTCACATAGTTTGATGCCTGTGGGCCACCTCTAGCGTGCATTATAGCCTAGGGGTAGCATTTATTAAATGATGCGAAAATTCCAATTTGACTCCCCCCAACCCTTTGGCACGGGTGCAAGGCACCACAGAGGTCACTACTCTGAGGGGAAGACGAGAGTCAGAGGCTAGGCATCAGTGTATATAGTGGGATCTACATTGGGGTATAAGTGATTATACATGTATACTGTGTAACAGTGGATCTCTCCCTCTGGGCGACAATACTGTACAGTTGCGGAAATGTGTTCCTAGATCCCCTGTGGTAAACCAAGTCTCCAAATGGCAACGTCACAGTAGTAGTATCACTATTTATGAATGAATGGGTATTGGTCGTGTAACAATGGATGTGATTGGTGGATAGTTTTGCTATAGGTCATGTCTGTTGGCAGTTTAGTGACACGGGTTACCATAGGGGGTGTAGGACCACATTTTTGCAACTGTACCACTCAACTTTCACTGTATTTTATGGCCATTACCTTACAGGTCCCTGATCACTGAGATACAGGTACAGTACCTCAATGCCTAATTTACTCTTTATAATAATTGTCTCCAAAGGTTATTTCTGTAAGAATTAAATTAGTATATAAAATTTATACTTATTATTTTTTCAATGTTTAAACCAACCTGCTCAACAATCTCCCTGGATTTAGTGATGATGGTCGCTCCTGTATAGCACACAATGCCTGCCATTTCCATCGAATGCCAACGCGATCCTTTCCTCATCACATATCCATAAAATGAGTTGAGAATACACTTATGAGCAAGCTGAAGGGAGTCATACAACACTGCTCGTGCATTGGCTGCTTTGATTTCTGAAGGATCCCCCTGAAATAATGTTAGGTTCTGGTTAATGTTTTAAATCATAACACAGTATCACCCTGAGAAAATTTCACGTGGCCTTACATTCAAAACCTATTTACAGTAAGGAAGGTGAATGGAAATGCATGTCATGAGCACCCAAGAGTGACGAGGAAAGACATGAGGTACAGCAGCAGTAGAAAATTAGTATAAGATAGTACAGTAACCATATTGTTTAAGATTTCCACAACTACTGACCTGCGTACACAAAATAAAGAGGTGACTATTAACAAATAAAAATATGAAGTAATCTGCACCTCCCCAGAACCATTTACATATGAGGCACCCCCAGCAAGAATAAGACAAGTGACAAACCAGCTTGACATGTGTTTATACTAACTTCAAGATGGTCAAACTTTAACTAATAAATTTTCTAGATTTTTTAAAATAAAATTTTTTACTGCTTGTTTACTTCTGCCTCGGAGTACCTCAAATTATAAAAAAAAAAAAAAAAAATTACAGTATTGATATATCCTACACAGAAATTAAAGAGTCAATGCTAAAGAGACAGTTCATTCCCTTTGAATACTGCACTTATCAACACAGTATAAGATCTGCACTATTTTTCACAATTGAGCATAAACCCAAGTAGTGCCTCTTCCAAACACACAAGTCGTTGAACATCACATTTTCTATCCAACAAGCTAAACAGTTTTGGATAACTTATCACATTACCTTTGACCTATGGCATGGATAACACAACTATCAGAGATTTTTTTTAATACTTGTACTACAATTTCTCTAATTTGCTGCAGAAAATAATTAATATTTTATCATTATAAATTTACTTGTACGAGTTATAGGACGTCATATGCAATTTATTATCTATGCTTTACAGCCATTTTCCACCCTTGCATGGGTTAGCTGTGATTACCTGATGGCAACTGTTGGATAAAACCAAAATAGGATGTCTCCCCACACTGCTCACCTCCACAAGCCCAAGGCACCAGCCCAGAAAATGCAGCAGAGACCTGGGGATGGGCACAGCTATGGTGACCCAGTTACCATCAGGTATGTTAAAGCAAAGTGACAATGAGATGAGAAAAAAGGGCAAATGTATGAGTGTTAGTTTTGGTTGCCTTTAAAAAGGCAGAGAAAATCCTTTTACCAACCTAAAATCTGCAGAACTTCATTACGTGAACTTCTAATAAATTACTGGATAAATAAAAAAATATATGTATTTACAAAAATCTTACCTTTCCTTGAGCCTCTCCCAACTCTCTTTTGGCCACTTTCAGAAGGCCTTTGTACTCATAACGACGATCTCTGAAGGATCTCACAGTGTGCACATAAAAGCTGTTTTCTCGTTGACAAATGGTCTGCCAGCGTTCCTCTGTTCTTGTTTCCTTGATTTTTTTATAGGCTTTGCGACAGTATTCCTGGAGACGCTTCTTCTCAGCAGCTGCTTGCTCCTCTCTGTCATAAATCACACACACACACACATATATGAGAATGAGTTGAGGAATCACAGGGAAGAAAATAAATGTAAACAAGAGGAAATGAGAAAGAGGACAGGCTGAGGGAAGTTTAAGAGTGTTAGAAAATGACAGAGTAAAAAAAAAAGAGACATTGATGACCCACTGGGAATGGCGCATATCTCCAACCAAGAAAGACTGCAATTCAAAAATTACTTGGGCCAGCAATATATCTTATAATCATAAGCAAGAATTTGACATACCGTAATACACTTTCCAACAGAAGCTAGAATTAATCATGTGTGTTCATACGGTCACTGGGAGGAGACCAAATCTGTCATGGATGAAGTATAGTACAGGACACACATAGCACTGGTCATTACTTACAATGAATTTCCTTGACAGAACAAAGACGAAAGTTTTAATTTAAGAAAATAAGGTAAAATATAGGCAATCCTGTTAACAAATTAACTATAAACCATTAATGACATACATGTACAACACAAAACTCACATGGCTTGACAAAAAGATATTGTAATATTATTAGGATAGATTAGGTATGGTTTGGTTCATCCATCTACTGCTAAAATTTATGGTTTACACTTACCTTGTTTTTACATGAGCAGGACATTTGTATTATGTTTATTTAATATAATTTTGTTTGTTTTTACTCTTTCTATATTTCTTTTGCAAAGTGAATTGTTTTCATTCAAAGTATTAATGAAAATTCTGCCACATTTTTAACAGGAAACTATCTTTAACAGCTGTGCACCACTAACGATAATCCATAATTTACCTTGATAGCTTCAACTTCAAATTGCTTCATACTTTTTATGTGGAGGTATTGAGGGCATGACCTTCAGAAAACTGAAAATTTACCTACTCTGGCAAGCTAACAGTGCCATATTTCTGAAGCCATATTGAATTACTATTATAATTACTGTACTTCACAAAGATTTTTAAGTAAAGAGGATAGGTACTTGTTGAGTTCATGGAAGGCTCTGTGCTTCATGCCAGGAAAAGCAGGAGGAAAACGTTCAGTTTCTAGCTGTTGCTGAATCCGCTGATATTCACTGCGGGATGCAGGTATTACATCACCACGCCAGATCCATGACATCTTTCGCTGACATGTTGCACCAGGTTTATTGAAGTCACAAGCTGCACACACAGTTTCATCGACCTGCAATTAAAAATCACCGAGAGCTTTTACAATGCAAAAGGACAACAAATGTGATTAAAGGAATAAATTACTTTTGCGAATAAATAAATAAACATGATGGAAACAAAGGTACCTGTAATAATCAAATAAGCAAATGTGATCCTCCTGCACTAAATTTAATATCATCAGAATTAGCTGAACTATAAACTCATCCAAAGGTCTAAAGGTTTACTGTACGCTTTGTAACAATTTAATTTATGTAAGACCACAATTGGAGGTAAAAATATAGAAATGTCATGGGTAGGACAGAGCCTCCTGATCTGCCCAAGGCCATTAGTGGTGAGGAGATATTGAAGATAAGACAGAGGACATGGATTTCAATGGTCTTGGAACATTTTTGAGGAAAGTAAAAAAGATAAGGCTGAGTATGGCCTTTAAAGATTTTCTGAAGAAAGTTTATTGTATTTATCAGTAAATAAAGTGAAGATAACTACAGTAATGGTCTGACATAGTCTACACAATAGAAGCAAAATACTGTACAGTACATACTGTAGACATAAAACAATATTCACAAACCATAGCAGATGGCTGGAGTCGATTGGTAAGAATAATATTGGGGTACATGGCACCAACATCCAGATGGTAAATTAGGGGGTTCTCCAAGCGGCAGGGAGTGTCACGTAGGTCTGCTAATTTCTTCTTGATGTCGTCAACGATCTCGTCATAATTGGTCACTTGTTCTAGAGGGACGCCTTCTTCTACTTCAACACAAAATTTTATTGTACGGTCCACATTATCTAACAACTTTTGGAAAGCTTCTGGAGCCTAGAAAAAAAATTAAACACTAATTAAATTTCTCCACTTTATAAAATCAATAGTTTTGAACCTGCACAGGATGATGGCAACTAAAACGACAGGAGAACTTGCTTTCCTAAACACTCTGTTCTTAACATTGTGACTGACCCAACAGCAAAGCGCAAGATGTTTGGTTTCTAATAAGAGTTTCATAATAATTTACTCAACTGTACAAATATAGAACCCCAATACCACACTTACCATCCTAAATCTACACGGAATGTCTGCACGGAACACTCCTGATTCTATGGCTTCCACGTGCCCTCCGACGTATGTTTCTTGGTCCAACACACGGCCATCAGAGGTAAGTTTGTTTAGCTGAGACACTTGTTTGTTGGGATACACAATGTTGGCATGATAGGCCTCCACCATCAGCAGAGCCTCACACAGTGTGCCTGACCCCTTGCGTAACACCTGCAACAGTGATAATTATCAATATTTAAAAGTAATTTATTCTAGAACCTAGATATAATCTTCCTGATGCATATGTGAGTATCTAAACACAACTGGGAGTCTGGGACATTATGTGTCTGGCAGAACTGGTTTGTATGTTCAACAGGCTTGCTTTAAATAATTTGTCTCAACTATTCCACTGTAAGTTGAAGATACACTGTAGCTTTGTTATTGCTGTAAATTCTTATCAACTCAAGAATATCTACTATCATCTTATTAAACTAATTTCCATTCTAGGTGGTTGCATTCGCCTAATTGAAGAGTTAGATACTGTACTGTGTTTGCACACTATGTTCTGCCCAAGCCAATATTCATTGCCCAAACAATTGTTCCATTTGTTTGTTTTCAGGCACTTATTGAGCTAGGAAACTGAAATTTGGACTAAATAGTGACCAAGTGTTTTGGGAGGAAATTTTGTTTTTTTGTTTTTACAATTAAAAAAATAAAGTTTTTGAGTTGTTTTGTTCATGCATGGTAAGGAAGGACGATGTACACTGAATGTATCACTACTTATTTCCCCTAATTTACTTTAAAGAACATTTATCTCAAACAAACAAACAAACAGTACTGGTCACACCCTATGTATAAAACTACAGCATATTACTCCAACTACTGTATGTTGTTTACAATGACAAATATAAAAATTTATATATATCAAACTCTTCTCATAATAGATATAATAATCTTACAACAATGATACAGTACATGGAATTATAATGTTGACTCACATCATCAGGTCCCATGGGAATAATAGTGCAGAGAGCCAAAATAAATGGGTGGACGTATTTCATGTAGAGGTAATAGGTGGCCACAGCATCTGACACTGAATAATTAGCCAGCACCTACAACATGTAAATAAAGGTATTAAAAAAATTAAATTTATGCATCTGAAATTATAAAAATTTATGAATCCCATTACCTGCCACAATGATACAGCACAAGGCTTGAGTTCAACTTTCACAGATCAACAGCCAAACTAAACTGAACTCTGAGATCCGAAGTAAGCTTTACAAACCTGTGGTTGTTCTGCTGCGAGGGGACACATGTCTTCTGGGTCGAGCTCCACTGGGTCATATCGTAATTTGGCTTTAGCTACAGCTTTTAAATTCTGGGACCCAACAGGTAAGTAAGAGTCTCGCTTCACCCAACTGGAGATGAAAACCAAAACTTATTACTGTACAGTACACAATCACTGTCAAAAGGAAGACTGGCTGAGGATGTGACCGAAATTTACTATGAAAATTTGCCTTTGTTTATACTAGTTTTACTTATACAAGTACAGTACTGGCCTTTACTAGGAACACAACCCCCCAGTATACATGGAAGTAACCTATTTATGTATAACCATTTTCACCCCCCTATCCCCCAGCTTTTTGCACTCAATGCAAGATGGCTGAAAACAAAAATAATTGCCCACACACATATTTGGCCTTAATTCATTGCCATCATTCATGTTTCCTGCTGGGCAAAATTTAAAACTAATAAATACACCTACACATTCTTTCTACATTCACTGACATACACACCAACATAATCTTCTTTCATTCACTGTCATTTTTACATATGTAAAAAATGTGCTCTGCTTTGGTACTCCCCTTCCACAAAAAGGCTCCAAATCTGGTTTACTGCTCTCACTTCACACAAGTCAGCAACACCTATCAACAGTTGTCTTTCCTAAATAATCACTTGAAGTAATGCTACTGCCTCCTGAATGTCCTTCTCCCTAAATCCAGTCTATCTTTCACCTCATTCTCCCATCTTCTTCTAGGACTTCTCCTCTCCCTCACACCATCCACACTTGAATTATAAATTCTTTTTACCAATCTTTTATTTCATGTTCTCTAAGTCTATACAGTACCAACTGGAAACAACCTAATCCACTCTCTACCCGATACTTCTATAACTTCTATATCTCCTTAATTCTTTATTTCTTATTCTGTGTATCCTAATTACCCAACCATTGCTCTACAACATACCATTTCAGTCTTTTAATTGACTCCTTCCACTAGCATCCAGTCTATGCTTCACACCCATATAACAATGTTAGCTCAACAAATCCCAAATACAGTATATTCCCATTTCTGCTTTCTTTGAAAAAGTTTTCTCTTTCTCCTCGCAATTCTCAGTGCACCTGTTAATTTTCTTCCATATCCTACTCTATGGTTCAATTTATTACTCATCCTTCCATTATGGTAACTCATCCATATCTAGATATCTGAAACACTTCATTTCCTCCCTTTTATCTCAATTCAAACAAATAAAAACTCACCACAAACAGTCCATGTGAGCGCTGGGACGTGAGGTGTATACTCCTTCTCGGTTCTTGGAAAATCCAATCTCACGGAACATATCAAGATTGTGGAATGCTGCCCGTGCCTCAACAAATGGCCAATCAAAGAAGTCACCATTGTACGTAACAAAAATATGAGGCTTTACCTGGAAAAAAAAATCCACATACCATCATTAGTAATACAGTAAACAAAAGATTCAATTATTCTAACCCATATCAAGTTTTTCTCCCTAGATGTTATGAAACGGTATTGGCAGTTTACCACCATATTGGGAAAATTTACAGTTCATGTATTCCAAATACCTGCATATGTGTTGAGCGAATCATACAGCAGTTAATCTCAGAGGAAGAGTCAATGCTACAGATATCAGGCTTACCTCTAAGATGTGATCAAAGAACCTCTGAATCAAACCCATTTCATTAGGTTCATTGAAAATAACAAAAGGTCCCTCAAACTCTGGCCGAGGAGTGTATTCAAAGTCTTCCACATCTTCACCGACAATCTCTCGGTTGGTTATCAGGTAACCCTGTAACAAAGAAGCAGTGACAATAACAACAGTCATCAAAAATATCTACTGAATGACTTGATATGTGTTTATTATACCCTTTACCATCTTTCTCTCCAGGCATTTTCTTATTAATATGAGATGAGTCACTTCTTTAATTTTCACTTCTTGTAAACATACTAAGTGAGGAATACTGATGAAATGAGAGATGCAGATCCTTCCAGAATGTTCTCTAGACCATCCTTTCTTATTAAACCTTGGGAATGATAGTCATTCTCAGGTACTATATACAGTATTAAATACTTAAAATGAGAAATTTAACATGTGATTCATAGTTGTTTTCACATTTATCCATCATGTACACTCCATTCCCAAGTAAACTGTTAAAGCTGAACAGCTGCAGAACAGTTTTAATTGAAATTTACAAGGTCAGTGGTATTCTCTTACCTGGCCATCAATCATATAAGAAATCATCATAATTTGATCAGTATTTGCATCTGGAAACTTGAGGGGCAGCTTGGTAGTCTCAATATCATAAGCCAACACAATACAGTCTGGCCACACCAGCAAGTCATCCCGACGAGTAATGATGGGAGGTCCTGTTCCTCCGCCTCGAACAGAGTACCACAAGCCAACAAAGATCTTGCAGTCAATGGAAACTCGAACATGGAATGGGACATCATATTCTCTGTAAATAAAATAAACATATATTGTACTGTATACAGCAAATGTGGTAAAGCTGGGAATATGAAAGTTAACCTAACATCTTCAAGTTGACAATATGTACAGTACTGAAGAGATGTAAGTTAAGTGCTCAAGTGGTTTTCCAGTTATGTTAAATGATAGATGAGCTTATCTGCCAATATTTCTGGATCAGTATATGTGAGCCTTACCTCATGTCCAATAGATTATCTAAGTGATCTTGCGTTCGCCTGCCAGACTCACTTGTTTCCCCAGCATACTGAGCTGATAACATCTCAGAGTAAACTGTCTTGGACTTGGCAGCTTCCTTGTTTCTTCTAACAGCTGTCTGGATTGATTGTTTTACCTGTCAACAGATAAATTTCATTGCTTTGTACAGTATCTAAAACAATGTGAACAATGTAAGAGTCAAAGAAATCGAAGTTATTAGAACAAGAGATGGGACAAAAAGGAAACTGGTACACATGGTTGGATGAGCAGAGCAGGTATCTGAAGTTTCTGCACCCATCACTAGATGTAAATTCAGGATTATGACATGATCTAAAAAAACCACAGTACAGTAATTACTTCTTAGACACTTAAAACTGCCCTGTATATTTTCTATTTCCATTTGGGTTGAAGATCACTTTGAATCTTACCTTCATTAAGTCATTGACAGTCATAAAGGATAGCTTCAGTAATGTCTGCTTCAGGCCAGTGAGATGATTATCCTGAAAGATGTGTAAAATGGTAATGAGACTACAAACTCACTCCTAAACATTTACAATACAGTATCTTCCACAAACACTTTGATAGTTTTAAGGGAACTTATGCTTCAAGATCATAATTATACATAAACACAAGGGCTTCAACAGTGGAGGAGGACAGAAGTCACTCTGCAGGATAGTAAACTGAGTACGTACTGATATAATGATTAACAGATTTCACCTTTAACCCCTGCCAGTATCCTTCACAAAAAAAAATTCAGTTTCATATTTGTCAGATATCAGTATTGACTGACATTTATAACAGAGCCTTAAGAAAGACTGTTGTCCAAAATGTTTTTATAATTCATCCAACTAAATCAATATGACAAGATACAGTTACAAATAAATAAATAAAAATTTAACTTACCAAATCGAGATCTTCTTTCCTCACCACTTCTACAGTGGCAAGATGGCCAGAGAACTTCTTTGTTAAATAGGTAGTGACATCCTGAATCACATCCGTCTTTGTCATTACATAAAAGTAAGGGCGGTAGGGAAGGGATACCTGTAAAAAAGGTAAATAGTATATATTAAATGATTATTTACTGTACTTGTAAATAACTATTATACAGCCTCTCCGTGCGGTGAGTGAGTTTGTATTGCAGGTTACAGGGAACTCTTAGGGTCAAAGCTGCTAACTGACCGACACAATACACAAACTACTGTATTCAGTTCACTATGCTTGCTACAAAAATATTAAAAAAAAAAAAAAAGATGACCAACTTAGAATAAAATATTCACCACCACAAATCTCAGTCCTAATCACTACAGCAACTGGACTATAATAAATAAGTGTGATTTCTATATTCATCTTCAGCTCTGGTAATATCAGTTCAGTATAGTAATTTAATGTTTACTCTCATCAGTTTAGGTTCTTTGGACTTGAGCACATCTAAATTTATTCCGTAGGCTTTCAGGTTTACTGTAAATTTTGGGGGGCTGGAACACATCTCAGCTTTTAACGTGAGAACCTATGGAAAATTGGGTTTTAGTGAATGATAACTCACCATAAAAGCACTTTTAAAGGAATTCATTACTCATTATGAGGGACTCTACTGTACGAGGGATGATCATCCCTAAGAGAGCAACTAATATGTAACAGCCTTTATGATTTGATGACTTGTATCTGAATCATTGCCTCTTCTCTTGAACTCAAACTTGACCCTTTGTCATGCCTCACACCTGGTCCCGTTGTTTTACTCTAACTCTTATACCATCCCCTTATCCTGAACCTCACTTATCCTTTACAAGTTTGCCTCATTTTCTCACCTTAAACCTGGATCCATCCTCTTGGATAAAGTAGTAGTCAACGGCACTCACAAGTCTTTTGTCTTCATTGAGAACTTCAGTCTGCAGATGATGTATGAAATAATAGACTTCTTCAACACGAAGTAAGATAGATCTTTGCAAAATGGTTACATTACAAAACATTTTGACTCGTAAAACAAAGATTTGTAAAGCATTAAAACCTTGTAAGAGTTTTTAAAGGAAAATTATACAAATGTTCAAGTTTATGGTTAAGGAGAGAATGACTTGTCTGTACCTGAGACAAGGGGTGGAGTAGGAAGATGATGCCATGAAAGAAGAGAGAGGGCCAATAAGCAGGTGGAAGTAAAAGGAAAAAGTCTGACGGAGATGAAGAGGAAGGAAAGACCAAGAGTGAAAAGGAAGACTTTTTTTAAACATTCAAACTTGTGTTTGTAGGGATGACCATGTAGATACTGTAGTCCTAATATAAACACTAGACATGAAGAACATTGTTACTATCCTAGCCAACAGTTATCTAACATAAGTTAAGTATAGTTTGGTTAATTTTTTTTTTTTTTTACGGAGATTAGCCCACCCAGGCACAGGTCACTGACCCACATCGGGGCCCGGGGGGCGAAATAATAATAATAATAATAATAATAATAATAATAATAATAATAATAATAATAATAATAATAATAATAATAATAATAATAATAATAACAATAATAATAATAAAGAACCAAAAAGAAACACAAAATGAAAAAAAAATCAAAAGTGAGGAACAATATATGTATGTTGTGTTGTCAATAGTAAGAGAAACAATTGAGACCCTGCAATTGTGTGTAAAGGAGGCAGAAAGTCAGATCAGCAACCTGGGACTTGGTCACAATTTTCGTGATGCCATATAATTATGAACATCAATGACATTTTAAATGAAATACAGCAAATTTCACCAAATATGAACTAATTTTCATACAAAAAATAAAATAAGTTACAGTATACTGTACTTAAATTACAAAGCCACTAGTTCAATTTCAATGTTTAATCAGATGATTCGTCACAGTTAATGTGACACACATATACTGTATATAGTACAGGTACATGGTCATTAACCATGCCTTTGCTATACAGTAAACAATATCTCCTTTGCCCTTTACAGTACAGTACTTAATATTCCACTAGAGTTAGATCACACTATATTTGTTCAATAAAATACTGTACAGTCAATAGTGATAAAAAAATCTTACAAACTACTGTATATTGTTTAGGTCTAAGTTAGAACAATGATTATACTCTTTATAATGATATTACAGGGTACAGTATCTGAAAAAAGTACAAATACAGTACAGTATGTAAACATGTGCAATATTTCTTTAAAAGACCACACATTGAGACGGTTATGAAAACTTACAGGGTGCATGTTGAGAAGCCACCCAACAATCTCCTGGGACTCTTTGTAGCGATTAAAGCCATATTTGGTATCAAGAGCATCATTCTCCAAGCTCTGCTGAAGGCGTCTGTCAGAGCCATCATCCTGTCCACTGTGGGGTGAAAACAAGAAGAGATTAATGATGGTACAGTATATTAGATTCATATGTGGAAAATCAAATTATTCTATATTCTTAAACTTCACATTAAGAATGCTCAGTGGAAAAGAGAGGACTCAATGAAAAATGGGGATGGACTGAGGTGGGTTATACAGAGTGAGCCAACCAACATAGACTAATATTTAGTAGATGGCACCTCTTTGTTACCAGTAAATAAACCAGCTAGACATATTCTACATACACAGAACTGTATAGGACAAAGTCACCTGGGTGGATGTTAGTTTGGTTTTTGCCAATTGTGTGTTAAAAATTATAAAACAAAATAAGAAACCATATTAAGGCAAAATATATACTGTACTATATTCTTTTTACAGCAATGATTAGCTAGTTAGGTCATGTAGTACTGTACTGTAATTTCGTATATTTTCTTGGTCTATGATGACACAGAAATGTCTGGGATTAATTTGGAATACTGTATGTGAAAATACTATTACAGTATCGTTCATCAGCATATACAGCTGCTCCTCGACTTACAATGGGGTTAGGGACCCAAATCCAGGTCGTAAGTCGAAAATGCTTAAATATTGCATAGAAAATCTAAAATGGGCGTCTCTTTTTCTTCTCAGCACCACAAAACTCTCACTTTTAAGCTTGCCAGCCATTTTAAAGGGAATTACAAACGAAAATTTTGTCAGTTCACAGCGCAATCACTAACGTTGGGACTCGAAAATACGTAATTTGACAAAATTTTGGTATGACTGAGGCGGTCGTATGTCCAGGTGGTCGTAGGTCGAATATGTCGTAAGTTGAGGAGTAGCTGTAGTACAGTATACCGTAATGGTATCATCAAACTGAACATTAGACAGGTCTGTTTGCCAAATATCTTTTATATTTGAGCCCGATCAATAGCATGAAGCACACATCAAAAAGCTTTTTGAATAGTATAAAAGGTTTGGTGTCTTCTCAATGTACAAAGAGTACCAGAACTACAGCCTCTGACATCCCTGACCACAAGTGACATACTGTAGTAACTGTGTGATTCAAACAAATCTACTGACAACAAAGTTACTTGGAATGGATCAAGGACTGAGAAAACTGTGCCATTATTTCACTCAAACACAAAATGTGACTTGAGAACTCTTGCAAATCTATATGACTGTGGTGTGTTCTCCTGCAAGTACCAAAAAATCATTAAAACTGACATACACCATTTACAGAGACCAATTAATGTTCAAGAAAGTGGACAAGTGGCAGATATATCAAATAAACTCAAGCACAAACTGTAAGCCTCACCCCTCTCTCTCACAAGCACTGACAAGACATTGAAATCCAATAAAAATAATCTGATCGGTAATGGTGGAGCAGACGGTTAGCACCAAAAGGACTTTATGGAATTGCACCAAATTTTCAAGAAATGTTGTTTGGAAAATACAGTACTAAGTAATAAAATCAAAATGACAATGCACAGAGCCTATTAGAACCTGACCTAACCTCACCTAACTTCATAACCTGCACATTATCATTTTCTTACTTTCATCCAAACAACATCTCTAGAAAAAACTAGTAAAACCAATCCAATATAACCGTAATAAACACGCCCGAAGAGATCGTAGTTCCTTTCACATGTAAACAAAGACCACGGATGCTCCTGTATAGCAGATGATGCGAACCAAAACACGGTCGACACGGGAGATCCGACAGCTCCATAAATATGATAATTAATTTATTTCTTCGCCTACAAAGCACGTAGAGATGTGAAATTATTGTCACATGATCAGTGTTCACAGTTTTTTAACATGATATTTTCCCTCTTCCTTTATGCCCTTTTTTATTTTACTTTTATCCTCTTTGCCACTGATCGGCTCATTAGCAGCTTGGGCGGTCGGTCACATCTCTGTTACACGCTGTTGGCAAGTACTGGGCATGTACTGACTCCTGAATGTATCTGTACCTGAGCCAGTGTTGGTCAAGTCTGGTCTTGAAAGAGCTCACACTCGGTGCCTATCAAAGGATAGGCTAAAAAGGAAAAAAATAAATAAAATCATACCACAATGTTGTCGTTTCAATTTTATTACTCAGTATCATCCCAAAATCCACTGTGGAAAATATGAACGAAATACAACATATAAATGCGTTCAGGTGCTAACTGTCTGCTCTACCTTTACTATGTGATCTGCTGGGCGTCCATAGTGCTGGTACACATGTAGAGGCAGTACGGTAATACTACTGTCACGTAATGTAGTCAACCCCTGAGTACTATTTACGAGCACTGATACCCAGCTGAGGAAACAGTGATCATGCAAGAGTCAGTCAAGGAACTACTATAAAAGCACCATTGAATAACGACAGCTTGACTTATTAAGTAATAATTAAATAACTTTACTTAAAAAGAGGGTGGATGAGAAGACAGAATAACCATTTATTAAAACTGCAATATTTCACTAGTGTAAAAACGTTACTTACCTTGAATCTCCATCGGTATTTTTTTTAAACCTATCAGTCCTAAATCTCCCAGAATTTTGAAGCACCATTGCACATAATAACTACTGACTGACACACAGATAAAGACCCTGCTGGCTTAAACCTTTGATGGTAAACAAACGGGAATCAGCTGGAAAAGCGCGCCAAAACCTCCTACACATCCGGATTATAATACGGATTGAACGACTACCTCTACCGCACGCAATATATAAAATAGTCAATTTGTTTCTTCTTAATTAGAATTATTTATTCACCGCAGAGCAGGACTTAATTTTCTGCTACTGTTTGTGGCAAATATCGAAGACTAACCAATATATTTTATAGCACTCTCCTCCGGTCGCCCTTCTCAAGTCACAAGTTCACGTAAATAAAATTAAGAAATCAATTAAATGTTTTATCGTAACACCCCACTTTCTGGATTTATAAACATATCACCTATTCTACTTGGAAACTTCAAACAAAAGGCTGCATTAAACCAAGAATCTATACTGTTGACGGATGGCTCCCGCATCCATCCCCGACCAAAGAATATATAGGAAGAAAACTGATCTCCCTTAAAACAAATAACCGGTACTTTATCCGTGGCGACATCATAAAGAACGCTTCTGTAATACATGCATAACTATTAAAAAGTGTTCTTTCAAACGCACTTTTTCATTAATATTCGATATACTTATATTAATTTATATGTAATATATATATATATATATATATATATATATATATATATATATATATATATATATATATATATATATATATATATATATATATATACTATACAGACCACCATCTATAATTAGTACGATATACTCCAGGGCACCTACACCAATATGCGGGAGTAATAGTTCCTTCCTCTATATTCCTTGCCCCCGACTGTGGCGCCGTTAATAGTTCACATGCAAAAGATCAAAGGGAAGGAGGCGCATAGCTGCATATTTCGGTGAATACATGGTTTTCTCTTGTCTTGTGCACCTTATTTTACCATATGCAATTATTGTGCAGCTATTAATTAGTCCAACAATACCAAAATGAACAGAAACCTGTCTTTCCTCAGACTTTAATGGATCCCGAGAGGTGAGTCGTAAACCTACTTCTGTTAATGTTGACTGTTTATTAGTTTTTATGGGATTATGTATTTAATGCATTTAGTGCTGATGGCGATCCACGTTTAAAAATTGCTAGTGAACATCAGAGTATCAATAGGATATATAAAATGAGCAGGATACCGTCGTAGTGTCGAAAATTTTTAAGAATGAAACTTTTGAGTTTGGATCCTACCAGTTCAAGCTGTGGAATCGAGAGCAGTATTGGGCTTGAAAATGACTCTATAACAGAATTATCAAGAACAATGGAAGATCTTACACAGACACTGGCCTCCTAACTTCGACATGTCTACCTCTGGTGGATGACAGTTAAGTTGATAAGGTAAATAATCTTAATTTTCTTTGGCGAACGTTCATTAGGCATTTGTATATGTCTAGATCCTCGCTGGAAATTACGTCGCCTAGGCAAAGGGCTCTCTGGAAATAAGCATCTGACAGCTTTGTCGGCTATCCTTGATCAAATCGCCTTACTGTTTACCATTGTTGTACAGTACACTTCCACTGTCTAGACTAGGCACAGAGGAAACTGTCTTCCCACGGCTTTTTATATGCTAGCCTATCCAGTTGTAAACCTGTATGAAAATTTCATATATTTATTATTATTATTATTATTATTATTATTATTATTATTATTATTATTATTACGCAAATTTCGAATATGTCGCCTCATCTTCAAACATTTTCCACTGTAGCAGCTTAATCTTAAAAGCTCCAATCTTAAATTTACAACACTATATTAGTAGTTGTTTAGTTTTGAAGCTGAATTGTACTTTTGTTTAAGGCGTTGGTTATCGAGACCAAACTAATGAGCACAAAATAAAATGTGAAGAAACAGTCACTGCCAACTAGTTCTGTTAGCAATAAACTTGTAAAAAACAGTGTTATTGTGTGGTATTTTTTTCATATTAGATGGTGTAAAACTGGTATAAAGCTGTAGCTACGAGACTCCTATCATCGCTCTTACTGAAGCACAGGGTGGAGTATATTCCTTCAGTGGGGAGGGTTCTGCCTATTAGATCTACCATATGCAAGTCTTAGATCTGATTCACCCAAATTCTGATTTAGCAAAGAATTAGTCAATTTTAGGGTTCGATTGAGTCAATTGCTATCCACCTCTGGAACTCTCTGCCTCTTTACACTCTTAAGGTTGATTTGTGGACGTAATTTACATCAATGTCCTGCTCATGATTAGTAACGACAATTTCTTGACATTCTGAGATATCTTCTTAGTGCCACATGGTTCAAGCACATGTACTGTACAAAAGTTTTTTGGTTCTTGATCCCTCAAGCTTGGGGTTAGTACGATCGTTTTGTTTGTTTTCATTCGCCAGTCGTTATCACCGTAATTAAATCATCCATTGCAAATGGTAAATAGAGTTTAAAGCTTAACTAACGTAATTAATATATCTATTAAAGATGACATAGTATCCAGTTTGGTGATTCATCCTAAAATACATTACATAAAATGAATAAATTCTTACATAAAGACATCGCAATACTCGAGAAAAAAAACCGAATAAGAGACCGTAACTCATTTAACGGTAATTATGTATTAACAGATTTACTGGTGGCGAGCGTCATGAGTTATGTCGCTACATATACAGGGGTACTGTATAAGATAATAAAATACTGCAGCGGATCAATACGAACATAAACTTTACGGCAAAAAATTATTCCGATATGACAATAATGCACCACACCTTCCTTACCTCAGGATGTTATACATTAAACAAAGAATATCACCTGGAGATTAAGTCCCAATTTATTTTACCTTCAGATTAACTACATAGCCTTATCTAACGCGAACCTAAAGCTAACCTATAACCTTATCTAACGCTAACTTAGCCTTACGTCTCGGTAACCTAGTCTTACCAAACGCTAACCTAGCCTTATCCAACTCTAACCTAACCTAACCTAAAGCTAACCTATAACCTTATCTAACGCTAACTTAGCCTTACCAAACGCTAACCTAGCCTTATCAACTCTAACCTAACCTAAAGCTAACCTATAGCCTTACCTAACGCTAACTCAGCCTTACCTCACAGTAACCTAGACTTATCAAACGCTAATCTAGCCTTACCTTACGCTAACCTAACATAATCTAATCTAACCTAACCTAACGCTAACCGTAGGTGACGGGTAATTAGCCTTAGAAAATTAATTAGAAAGTTTAAGCTGTCATTTGGTCAAGTAATTATACAGATATCATAATGCGGACAACAGATCCTTAAAGCGCTCAGCGTTTTTCTGTATTCTTCTGGCCAAGGTGAGGTACTTTAGGTTGATGGGTCTTCCTTCTGACCACTGTGTCATGTAGTTTAAATATTTAGGTGTTTACAATGTCTGGACTTCTGCTGTTCTGGCGTGGGCAGGGCGGGAATGTAATGTTAATTGCTGGTGATTCAATTTTCTTTCAAAGAAGAAAAATTTAACCACCAGCAATTACCATTATACTCCCGCTGTTCCCACGCTTTAACAGCAGAAAGTCTACATTGTAAACTCCACCTAAATATTTAAAATATTTAAATTACATATACCTCACATATACTTTACGTTCCTTCACATATAATAGTTCCTGGTGACGTGACTCTTCTTCACACTCACCGCCATAATTCAGACCTAATCAATAATCATGTTTTGTTTTTGCTTTATCCTCTTCACCACTGATTGGCTCGTTAGCCTCTTGGGCGATCGGTCACGTCTCTGTTACGCACTGTTGGCAAGTACTGGGCATGTACTGGCTCCTGAATGTATCTGAACCTGCGCCAGTGCTGGTCAAGTCTGGTCTTGAAAGAGCTCACACTCGGTGCCGCCGCAACACTCACTGGCAGATTTTTCCAAGAGTTCGCAACTCCCACTCCGAAAAAGTTACCCCTCACAGTTATCTGGACTTGTGGCTTGTTTAACCTTGAGGTGTGACCCCTTGTGGGGTGGGCGTCCGCCAGCTCCAGGTATGGACACTCGACCAAGTAGTGCCCCCTGATATGTTTATAAACTTCAATTACGTCACTTTTTACCCGTATATAGTATAAGCTAGGCAGTTGCAGGTGCTCTAATCTCTCGGGGTAACTGAGGTGCCGTAGTACAGGCACCAGTCTGGTGGCCTTCCTTTGGACAATTTCGGTCAACTGAGTCTCTAGCATACCTCGAGGACCAGACGGGGTGACAGTATATTCCAGGCGGGGAAGCACCTCACTCTTGAAGATCGTTACGAAGGACAGACCCCGTATACACACACACACACACACACACACACACACATATATATATATATATATATATATATATATATATATATATATATATATATATATATATATATATATGAACTCCCTTCTTAAAAGACCTACTAGCTCAGTTGTTGATTTATCTTCTCACAATGGCCCGAGAACTTCAGTTCATCGTCAACATACACACTCAGGTTCTTTTCACATTCGGTCTCTTTTAATGTTGTTTCTTCGTCCTGTTGTGACATGTGATACTCCTCCTGTGGACCAACATTTTAGCTTAAGGTCCGCGTAGGTAATATCCCTACAAATCTTAAAAAAAAAAATATGGTACGACTTGCTGTAGGCGCATCCTCTTACATTTCATGACATTGGATCTTAACAGCCAATGATTAATGATATCTTAGGGCATATCATTTACGTCGGCGAGAACAATAAATTTAAAGACAGTAAAATTTCGTAAAAAAATTTAAATATGAATATTTATTAATAATACATAATAAGCTTAAATAAAGTTTGTCCTTTTACTGTATGGATGTTTCTTTAATAGCCGTTTGTTTGCTACAGGTGTTTAAAAGGTTCTTTCAGAACAGCTTGTTTGTTACACGTCAGGTGATCATAGATGTGGTGTTGAGGGCGCCGACACATGCAACTTGATAAATGTATATTCCTTTGTTTTTACTTGTTGGCTAGGCATTCACTAACACAAAATACGCACTTAACCACATTATTTTTTAAAGTGATGAAATACATTTTAACAACAGGGTGTCGTCTATGAACATTTCTTTATCAGTATTATTTCAC